CCCAAACTCATTCTTTTCTTTAAAGCCATAAACACATTCTATCTGCATCACTATATAACTATATCACTAATTCAATCGTAAAACTCAAAATCCAACTAGAAATTTGATAAACCCAGAAAATAAGAGAAACGTGAAGAAAATAGAGGAAGGGAAATCTGCGCACAATCTAGAAATCTTCACACAATCTGCTTCCACTTTTGAATTGAACATAGTTGCTGATTTCTTGCTAACTTATTTTTATTGTGTCCATAGAATTAGGAAAGATTATTATCCAGTTTTGTATTTAAGCAATTCATAACATTAATGAAAATAAGATTATAATTTTCCAAAAAAACACAGTATTAGTTTTCACTATAAACATAAACGAAACCCAAACCCATCATACTTGGTTCTTCTCTAATTGGGACCTATCAATTGGTATCAGAGCTTGTTGTGATATGAACTCACCTAATAAGTACACTAGTTCAAACACATACTATAGCGATAAATTTGGATATCGTCCCACGAGAACTAATATAACAATTACTAGAATCACAGCTAATTGATATAATTTGGCCAACGATTAAGAGAATGAGTGTAAACTAAAACTTAACAATAAAAAGAAACAATGAATTAGAATTAATTAACAATTAATATATAATAACGGTTAAGATCTTAGAATTCACCCTAAGTTCAACTATGAATTTTCTTAATTCCATCTACAACCAGAATTTTTCTCCAATTTCATTCAATCATGTAGTAATATTTTTCTCGAGATCAATTACCCTACCTACTTCATAATAACACACATATATATATATGAATTAGTATAAATCGGTGTATTGACATTCAATCATTAAATATATAGATCATACCACGTATCTCTATTCACATTCAATCTATTATGCTAACTTAATATTCTAATTAACAATCAATCTTTCAATTCAATCATTAATCATAAATCAATAAATAGGTGATCAATTTATTTATGCATTAAGCCACAAGATAACACATAGTGATTGGGAAAAAAGTCTTTCGTAGATTGAATAAGGAAATCACAAAGTATTACTTAAGGTTTCATCAAAGATCCCAACAGAAAAATTTAGTTACACATCCTAAAGAAAACTGCAAGAGTGAAATCTAAAGGAAACATGAAATGATTAAGAATAACCAACTAGAATAAGTTCTTGATGTCTGCAGTCGTCTTCTCTTTTCTCCTCCTTTGATCTCCCTTTATTTTTGAGATCCTCTCATTTTTATGTCGTTCAAGACCTAATTTTATGATCTGGTATGTCCTACGGATGTGTCAAATTGACACACGATCATGTCTTCCTCGAAATTACATCAATTTATAGCTTTTAGACACGACACGACTGTATTTCCCAGACACACAGTTGTGTCTCTTTCACTAAGCAAAATAAAAACGTTGCCTTGTTAACACATGGCCGTGTGTTAACCCAGTATAGACACACGACCATGTCTTCAGGAATATGGTCGTGTCTCACTCTCTTCAAAAATAGAAACGCTGGCTCCATAATACATAGCTATGTATTA